TTATATGTGTCTCTGACTCTCTCTCTCACATAAACACACACACACACACAGAGCCCGCTGTCAGCCTCTTCAGACCTGTGGCCTGTGTCCAGATCTGCAGTGTTTGTGAGCCAGTTCCTCCTGCCATTTCAGCCCAATTAGAAGCTCCCCTCCCTGGGCAGAGCCCAGAAGAAAGACCCCCCTCCTCACCATCCAGCCTCATATCTGTTGCTCTCATGTTATGACAGCCTCCGACACTCGCCCCGTGTAATTACTGCTGCCTGAAGGAGCGAGACGGTATGGGGCAGGACGGAGGGGGGAGCAGGCCAGTAAATACCACAAGAGAGGGAGAGGAGTGAGAAGGAATCATCCTAGAGAAGAGAAGAAGAGTGGAAGTGAGGCGACGGCTGGCAGACCACCCCCTGCTGGGTCTGTTTTTACGTGCCGCGTGTGAAATAGAGAATTACCAAGTGTGAGTGAGCTGATAGCTGATGACAGGATCTTGTAGCGGTGAAGTGGAGTCATGCTGCCTTCGCTGTGGACACCCAGACCAGCAATGTTTCCTCTCAGGAGACAGACTAATAACTCTCAGGTGATCCCAGAAAGGCCAATCAGGGCAGGTGTTAGTGTGGATCCTCAGTCGTCTAGAACGTGGCGACCCATCTACTCCCGGTACAAAATCCTAGACTGAAAGAGTCTAGTTAGTCTCACTGCCTGGATTACGAACATTCATCCGTTCATCTTTATGTTCACCTGCTGCTTGTCTGGTACCAGATCAGAGGCAACAACTCATCTAAAGTAGCTTCAAGACTTTCTGAGGTCAGAACCTGGGTGTCTACCCCCAAGATCTTCTCCCAGTAGGACGAGTCAGAAACACCTCCCATTGAAGACTTTTAGAAGAGACCCTTATGAGGAACCTGGCTGGAGGAGTCGTGCTACTCTCAGCTCCTCCCCATCCATCCATTTCCTGAACAGGTTTATTCCTGAGGTTACAGATGCTGGAGATCAACCTGGACATCGTTCTGCTCATCGACACCCACTGCACCTTCTGGGGATCCCAAGATGTTCCCAGGCGAGAGAAAATCCCTCCAAAGAGACCTGGGTCTGCCTGAGGTCTCTCTGCAAAGTGTTTGGAAAACCTCCAAATTCCTTCTTCATCGCAACAGGCTGAATCAGCGTCTTCATTAACACTGATCGGTTTCTCCATCTTTCCTCCGTTCGACCATTGCTCATGAGCAATGTACCAAGAGGCTTCCTCTGCTTGAGCTCAGAGACTCCTAACCACCTGGAAAGAGAATTCCACTTTAGCTTGGACCCTGGTAGGAATGTTTCAGAAGCTTCCAGCTCAGACGGTGACTTTGGTGGTCTTGGCTGCTCTGAGAGTTTCATTAATTCATTAATTTCCCTCTGGGATTAATAAAGTATCTTTGAATTTGAATTGATATAAACAGAAGCTTTTTTAGGTGATGGCTTTATTTCTATAGCTTTGAATACATTTACAAACATAAATGTCTATTAAGTCTGATCCTTTGTTCTAGAAATGGTTCAGGATCCACAAAATATTTTTAGTAGTTAAAAACCAGGTTCTGTATAATTTTCTGACACCTTGAGAACACTGGAAACAGGAAATTATCATGTCTCTTCTAAGATATTTGCCAAACCAAACAAACGTTGTGGCCTACTTGACAAAATAATTGCTCTCGTATCGCCATGGCGATAAGCGGTTTCAGCTGAAAGCCTGAGTCACAATGGATGCTCTGATGAAAACTTCAGCATCCTGCCAAATTTGGTTTGGTTTTATGGGTTCACCTGGTTGTTCTAGAAATGTTTATTGTTTTTGAAAAGAGCAAAAATCATCAGCAGAAAGCATTTGTGCTTAAAGGCATAATTTTAGTTCCTGTAAAGCTGTGGGCCACAACTTTGAGAGAGGTGGCACCATGAGGAGATGGTGGGATGTTGAGAAGAGCAGCAAAGGAGCTACTTTTCTCCAAAAACCATCAGAAACAGACTGATGTTCTGCTGCAGGTCCAGTGATTAGACTGCTGAGGGAGGAAAGTCATCTGCTCTGAATCTGGAGCATCCGACAGATTGTTTGTAGAAATAAAAGGTGATAGCGTCATGAGTTCTGACAGTAAAGCGCCCTGAGACCACCCATGTGGGGGATGCTTCTCAGCCAAGGGAGTGAACTCCTGAAAAAAGAATGGTACCTAAACATCCGCCCTGAGTACCTCCTGATGATTTAAAAATAGTTTAGTGATGAACAAGGTGGAGTCAGAACCAAGTGGGTCAGGAACCAGGCCATGCTGGGTCCAGGTCAGGAACCTCTCCAGACTTTGTTCGATCCTAGAGAGGCAGGTGGACCAGAAGGGGTTTCCATGAGTCCGGATCTGGAGCCGAAGCTGATTAACAGCACGTGAAGATGAACTGGAGAAGTTCAGAACCAGTAGGACCACCAGCAGAAACACTGACTTATTGCATAAACCTAATCAGTGAACTCATGTCTGCAGACAAAGATGAACTCTGATTTTAATCATCTCTTTAGTTTTTTATCTCCAGATCTCAGACTCCATCCCTCGACGTACGTCAGCCTACCTTACATTTACCAATTTCTGCTTCACTTCCCTCGCTCCACTCCTCTGCCGTCTTCATCTTGTTTTCTTCACATTATCATATTATCTCACAGTGGGGGCGGTTATAAAGAAGGAGCAGGAGAACATTGAGCTAGGAGCCAAAGACTGTAGGTGACGGGGAACAAACTGGAGATAATCAGACTGAATCATGCTGCCTCATCTTCAATTACCCGCTGCTGCTACGACACGACTGCCTAAATGACTTCCTCCCATTAAGGGCAATCATTCTCACGTGAATCCTAATGTTATGGACGCTATTATGAAGCACAGAACAAAATAATGGAGTTTCAAAGGGAGAGAAGCCAAAAAAATAAGCAGATTTTTTGCTTTCTGACCCCACAGAACGAACCTTAGCTTGAGTGTGTTTATTTTTCACCCACAGTGAAAACTTTCTGTTTCCGTCTCTTGTCATCTTGTAGAGTGGGTGCTAAAACTCCCTCTATCTGATTTAGTTTTTCTCGTTGGCACTCGGATGTGTTTGGTCCGGTGTGTGCCAACTCGTTTTGTTCACAAACAAACAAAAGAAGCTTTACTTAAAAAAACTAAATGAAAGTAAAACTTTTATCCATGACGGTGTTGTCTGCCAACCGGCTCAAGATGAAAACAAAGATTTAATCAGTCTGTTGGCTTACAAAGGACAGCTTTTATACAAATGAGTGTTTTATATTTATCTACTGAATGTCACCAAATAATAATATTCTGTAGGAATGTGTTACTTTGGAATCGTTTACATTAAATTAGGTTGCTGTTCAAAGTGAATCTCACTGTTTTGTAATGAATTAGATTGAACTGAAGCAGCAACATTTTCCTTACAGATCAAATGTTTTTCCTCATCTGTTCCACAAACGTATCAGTTTGAGTTTCTAGAAAGCAGAAAAGTGACAAAAACAAAACCTCTGCCTGTTCCTGAGAAGCTTGCAGATCTATTCACACACGAGCAGCACAGTTAAAGGCTACATTTGTTTGTTTTGTGATAGTGACATCAAAGTTTTTAAAGTGAATTTTATTTTTAGAGGAACTGATGGGGTCACACTGGTCTGGTTTTCTAGTTCAGGTGTTTAGTGGACCAGGAGGACATTCAGGATTTAGTCCTCAATTGACCTGCAGGACTTTGGGGTATTGATTAGGCTTTCTGGTTCTCGGAGCTGTGGTTGCTGTCTTAGCCCTGGCTTGGGGTCCCTGCCTGGGCGGGCCCATAGTGGTCTTTAGGGCTGTGTAGTCCTGGAGAGGAGGGTGTTGGCTTCACAAATCTCCTCTGCTTTTTGGAGATGATGTGGTTCTTTAGGTGTATCAGGTCATGACCTTCAGTGTGAACGCTGCCTACAGGTTTGGGAGGTGAGCAGGATTTCCTGTATCTTGATGTCTTGTTCCTGAGTAATGGTAGGATGAAAGAGAGGTGGACTGATGGACCAGGGCTTCATCTCCGGTTATGTTGCTCGTGTGTTCTGTACAGAAGGTGAGCTGACATAGCTCTGGACTTACAGGCCTACGGCGATGGTGTTTCAGGTACAACCTAAAGGAGGAGATCCTGGAGACACGCATCTGGAATGATCTTCATCGGGTGGCTGGTTTATGCCTCCCTATGAATGAGGATGAAAGAAAATGGGAGCAGCTCCATCATCTGGGGGAGCTGCTGCTGCTCCTCCTCATCAAAAGGAGTCGGTGGTTCATGCATCTCATTAGGATGCCTCCGGTTGGCGTCCTCCTGGAGGTTTTACTAGGAGACCCAGAACTCGCTGGAGGTGAATTCTCTCTGGTCTGGGGATGCCACCACCCTCCTGGAAGAGCTGGAGAGGGGGGGGTCTGGTTTTCCCTCCTGGTTCCTGGTTTACTTAAATAGTGAATATTAATTTTACTCTGTCCTCCCACAGCAGTTTAAAGTGTTCAGAGAAATAAAGTTCGTTTCATGCCTCCCCCCCCCCCCCCCCCCCCAACAACAAAATACCCAAGTGTCTTTTTTTTGTTCGGGACTTGAGATTTTTAAAAACCAAGAGTGGATGGATTCATGTCAGACTCAACATGTTTCCTGCCTTTATTACACATTTCATCCCAGAGGCTCGTTTGGCAGCAGAGTAAATGGTATTTGTTGAAAACAGTGTTTGTGCTGTCACCCTGGCAGATCTGAATGTTTGCTTAGAAAAGCTTTGGAGAGTTCTTTTGTTGGTTTCCTTTTTCCCTCCCGGTCAGTTAATCCAACAGAAACGTCTTTGGGATCAAGTAAAGGCAGGAACCTTACATGTTCTCAGTTTTTGTTGGACTGGTTGTTAACCTAAACAACAGTCATGTTTTCTGAAGTGTGTTTTCCCTGGTAGCTAGACCCCACTCGCTCAGTTAGCTTCTCCGATCTGTGGGTAAATGTAACTTTAGGCCTGTGGTATTTTGTGCCATCTGATCCCACAGACGATCACACCAGAGTCCGGCTGCAGCTGCTGGATGGAGACCCCCACTCCGACTACATCAACGCCAACTACATCGATGTGAGTTTTTACACGTTTAAAAAAGGTCTAGGAGCTGGAATATTCCAGGATTAGGATTATATTTCTGTTGGATTATCTCAGTGGTTCACAAAGTTTTCAGCTTCAATTCAATTCAGTTTATTTATGTAGCGCCAAATCACAGCAACGGTCGTGTCGAGGCACTTCACAAGCACCGGAGATGCTCATCAGTGCATCGCGTTTCGTTCATGAAGTTGGTGCAAAGTTTCCTATATAAGGAACCCAGCAGGTCGCATCGAGTCACTGACTGGTGTCAGAGTCTTTACAGCAATCCTCATACTAAGCAAGCATGCAGCAACAGTGGAGAGGAAAACTCCCTTTTTAACAAGAAGAAACCTCCAGAGGATCCTGGCTCAGTATAAGCGGCCATCCGCCATGACTCACTGGGGATCGAGAAGACCGAGTGCACACACGCACGCACGCACACACACACAGGCGCACGCTCATACACACGCCAGTAACAGATGAACTACGTCTATGTTGAAGAAAGTTAATATCAGGAGAGGGAGAATGCTTGTGCCAGCCATTGGTCCCCTCCACAAAGGTATCACAGCTCAGCAGAAAAATAACAGTTGTCACGACGACGTGAGCCAGATTTCTCAGATTTAAAAACACGCACATGCTTATAAAGCTAAAAAAATCAGGGTATAAAGAAAACTGCTTCAGGTCATATTCTTTTATATCCATTTATGACGATTTAGTGGAGTTATTTGAAAACAAATGTGTAAAATGTAGCTTCAGCAATTATTTTTCAAACTTTTTGAATTTGATCTCAAATATGAGGATTACTGTTAAGACTCTGACACCAGTCAGTGACTCGATGCAACCTGCTGGGTTCCTTATAGAGGAAACCTTTTACTGATTGGCTTAATGAACTGACCTGTATTGGAATGTTTACTGTGTGAAGGTCCTTGAGACGACTCTTGTCATGATTTGGCGCTTTATGAATAAACTTGAGATCATCAGAAGACCCCTGTGTGGTTCTTGGTGACCCACTGTGGGGTCCCAACCCCAACTTTCAGAACCACTGATTTATCCTATTACCTTCAGATTAATGAGATTTACCTCCAAACCTTCAGCATCCATTAAATTCAGCAGGAACTTCTTAATATTTGTTGGTAAAATCTGTGAAATTCGTGTTTTATAAACTGTTAACTTGGGTCACTGAGAAATTTAGGAGCCTACATCTTTAAAGTATAGTGTACATCACACACTGGTGAAATTCATCTGTGCATCATATCCATCCCCATGGGGAGCGGTGAGCTGCAGCAGTGGCTGTGCTAGGGAACTATTTGACCCCCCGATCCAACCCCTTAAAGCTGAGTGGCATTGGGTCCCTAACCCAACCGGGATGTGAACCCCGACCTCCCGGTCTCAAAGCAGCCACTCTTATCACTGCACCACTGAGAAGGTTACTTCCACAAATTAGAAAAAAACACAACCTTTTCACTTCCGCATTAATTATTTGCAGTAGGGATGGTTATGATGTATAATTCATTAATGATGTTAAACTTTTTACTCTCAATATTTTTTAGAATTCTTTAATGTTTCTTCAGAGAGGGTTTCGGTGAGAGTTTGGGACTACACCAAATAGGTGACCTTTAGTCTAACTAGCCATTAGCCTGTCAGTCCTGAAGACCCAGGTGCATGCATTTCTGCATTTCTACCTCCACTCCAAACAGACTCAGGCACTTAGACAGAACACCTTCATGAGATGATTTCAGCCGCCTGAGACTCGTTTCTTAGCAGAAAACAAACTCCTCCACGCCCCTGACTCCTAGATCGGATCATCATTGGCATGTTTTCCACATCTCTTTTCAATGGGAAATATGATGGAAAATACCTGCGACTAAATCCTCCTCCACAGACCAGATCCCTGTAAAATCATCACATCGTCTAAAAGGGGATGAAAATGGGGAGATGCTCTGGAATAATCAAGTTCCTTTCATTGTGTTTTTATTCTAAACTGACCTTGAGTTTTAGTGGGATCTGGATTCAGAGCACAGTCTAAACAGGAAGGAAAAGGGAAGTGAATACCAGACTGACTTATAAAATAATTATTAAAGAAAACTGTGGAAGCAAAGCAGATAGAAAAGGAAATGGAAAAGTGGGAATGACTGATATTGATTCCTGCAATTAAACACTTAGGAATAATCCTGGAGCAGGAGAAATGAGGAAAAGGAGGGAGGAAAAGAAACACCTGTGGAGAAGTAGAGATGATGATCTGAAAACACGATTCTAATAAATGATTCAGTTTAAAGGAGTCAGAAATCAAACCAGCATCTGAGCAGGAACCCAAAAATGGCTTAAGAGAAGAAAAAGGAAGAAATGTTTTAATGTTTGTTTTCTCTCTCACTCTCAGGGCTACCACCGACCCAGACATTACATCGCCACACAAGGTAATTAAGGTGATATAATGAGTGTGTGTGTGTGTGTGGGGGGGGGGGGGGGGGGGGGGGGGGGGTTCCGCCGCCGCCGCTGCCTCCGCCTGGTGGATGGCGTCTTTTCAGACTGGAAGGCTATTACCGTAGCCCCCTAAATCTGACCTGCCGTATAAAATTCTCCTGACAAATTTAAGACCCCATTACCTCAAAACCCCAAACTACTACCAGGGATTGAGTGTGTGTGTGTGTGTGTGTGTGTGTGTGTGTGTGTGTGTGTGTGTGTGTGTGTGTGTGTGTGTGTGTGTGTGTGTGTGTGTGTGTGTGTGTGTGTGTGTGTGTGTGTGTGTGTGTGTGTGTGTGTGTGTGTGTGTGTGTGTCAGGACCCATGCAGGAGACGGTGAGGGATTTCTGGAGGATGGTATGGCAGGAGAACTCGGCATCCATCGTCATGGTTACAAATCTGGTGGAGGTGGGACGGGTGAGTTCATCCTTTAAGCTGCTCCTGTGTGTGTGTGTGTTAAACTATTTTTATACTTTTTGTGAGCTTACCTCATATATTTTCCCAACTTTGGATTTTTCTTTTCTCTTGTTTCAAAGTGCAGGCTTTTGAGATCTTAAAAATCAGAACTGAGGGTGAAAAAGTCTTTGCTTTGCACCAGAAAGATGTTTTTCAGCTCACAGAAGATCTGTCATCCAGATAAAAACCTCAACATGAGCTAAAAAACAACCTGCAAATGAAACGTTGTTGGCTTATTAGTGGTTTAACTGGTACCTGTGGTTCTGTGCAGGTGAAGTGTGTCCGTTACTGGCCCGATGAGACCGAGGTGTACGGAGACATCAAGGTGACCCTGATAGAAACTGAACCGCTGGCCGAGTACGTGATCCGGACCTTCACCGTGCAAAAGGTAAAGAACTTTTTAAACATCAGAGAAAATAAACAAAGATGACAAAAAGATAAAATATTATTTCCATAACAAACTCAAAATGTTGAAAAACTAAATAAAATAATAAAAAGATGTTTCATTTAAATGAGACGTCATCTTTAGGGCTTCTGGAGCAGTGTCCAGAGAAAACCTCTGAACTTCCTCTTATCCTTCACAATAAGAGTCTCAACACATACCCTGAACATCTGAAGCTTATACAATTGTTTAATTGTGTTAGAGTTTTAATACAAAACAGTATTAATTATTTTACAAGCTTCAGGTGTGTTGAGATGCATGTTCATGTTTAAGGCTCTTATTGTGAAGGATGGTTTGAGGTTAGCTCCTCTCAGCTAAACGTTTGTTCCGAGTTAAGTCGGTAAAACTCACCCAGAGCAATGTTTCAGGAGCACCATGAGGCACGTTTGGACTTTTTTTCTCTGTCGCAGAATCAGTTAAGAAAGCACGGATTCACAAGTAAAAGGTGCTCCGGCTTTAGCGGACAGATTGTCTCCTCAGCTATGTTTAGTAAAACCTAAACCTCGATTATATTCTGGGCGACCAGGATTAGAGACCCATTTCTTGTTTAGAATTCTTGGCACTTTAATCAGAATGCAGGGATAACCACAAACTCAGAGTAACACCTAATAAAACGGATGTAGCATCAGTACGGATGCTAGTCGTTTTAAAAGTGCCAGTCTGAGTAAAACTGGGCTGATATTAACAACAATCTTTATTTCTGTCTCGTGGGGGGCTTAACTGAAGCAGAGGTTTAAAGGGTGTCGCCTTTACATCGTTTAAACTGATGGAAAATGTAGGAAATGAAGTCAGACATCATTATCGGCTCAGTTTTTCACATCGGTACGTTCCCAATTATTATTTCAAATTCTTCTTTTATTCATATTTAAATGAAACAAAAGTTTTTAATAAAATTAAAAAAAAACATTTTGATGCATCTAAATCAGTTATTAGAATCTTCACTCGTAGAACTTGTGAAACTTGGATTTTATGTGGGTTCTGGCTCGTTTGGCGCGCACACACACACACACACACACACACACACACACACACTTGTGTGTCCTCCAGTCCTCGCCTGTCTGCGTGTTTAGCAAACCATTAATTCATAGCACCTTGTGTGTGTGTGTGTGTGTGTGTGTGTGTGTGTGTGTGTGTTGTGTGTGTGTGTGTGTGTACGCACATTTGCAAAGGAAAGCTGACTTCTAAAGTGCCTGTCATAAATTTGTGGATGCATTAATACATACAAGCATTCTGATCTTTAATGCAGTGTGTGTGTGTGTGTGTGTGTGTGAGAGAGAGAGAGAGAGAGAGAGAGAGAGAGAGAGAGAGAGAGAGAGAGAGAGAGAGAGAGAGAGAGAGAGAGAGAGAGAGAGAGAGAGGAGAGAGAGAGAGAGAGAGAGAGAGAGAGAGAGAGAGAGAGAGAGAGAGAGAGAGAGAGAGGAGAGAGAGAGAGAGAGAGAGAGAGAGAGAGAGAGAGAGAGAGAGAGAGAGAGAGAGAGAGAGAGAGAGAGAGAGAGAGAGAGGAAGGAACCAATCTGAGACAAAGGATGAGTGTGTTCAGGTTCCATATGACCGTTAAACCAATGTCTTAATGAAGGTTTATTAACGACACATCTGAGGAGATTAATGGAGCTCCAAGAGGACTCAAAGTGTCGGTGAGACGTCGGAGAGCAGGAAGAGGAAGTTTCTGTTTGAGGGGAAAAGCTTTTCTGTTCCTCTACCTGTGAGAAAGTGAACATTTTTACCAAATCATGCAGTAATTATGATTCCGATTCCAGCGTCTGTCCTAAATCCTTCGGCAGCTGCTGAACCAGATGTGCAGCAGCAGTTTGGTTCTATCTTCTGCTTCTTCTGTGTGTTTTGTTGGTATCTCCTGATTGCAATATAACAATGAAAGTAGGGAGTATGAGCATCTTTAGGTGTCAGTCCAGTGCAAGATGGCTGCCAACCAAAATGGCTCTAATCCAGTTTACAGCTATTAAGCTGAAATCTGGGCTGTAGGTGAGAGTTATCCTAGTTACAAAATCCAAATGCTGACAGATCATCTCAGACTTCAACAGGTGAATTTATCAGTAGGTCAGTGTTCCGGCCCTCACCTATGGTCATGAGCTTTGGGGATCAAGGATGAGTTTCTGTCTAGGGTGGCCAGGTCGGTCTTAAAGAGGGTGAGGAGCTAAAAATAGAGCCGCTGCTGCTCCAACCGCTGAACTGAAAACTCTTGAAGTTAATTGTGGTTTCCCAAGCTAATCAGCATTAGACAAAACACAGAAATGGCGGTAAAACTCTCATTAGAACATTCTTCTTCAGCTCTGAGGTCTTAAAGGTGCTTTTATTCAAACAGTCGTATGAAAGACAGTGAGCGAAAAGAATTCCCTCAACAAAAGCTGGGCTAGGATGCCTAGATGCACCAGATTGTAGAGGACCATCATCTGTGGTCCTCAGCTCGTTATTAGTCAGAGCTGGGTAGAATCTGTTCCTAACAACAGATAAAAGCAAAAGCAAAACTGACACAAGCACTGTAAGAAATCACTGAACGGTTTCACCCGACAGCTTGAAGCCTTTCTTCATCCTCATCATCTTTATTCTAAACATTTTGAACTAATATTTCATAAATTTGAGGCCCTGGTCGTGTTGAAAAGCCGCCTATTGATTTTCAGAAGTAATTTCAACATCATAGAGGAGAACAGATCAATGAAAAGTCCAGTTATCAAATCACCTTGTGGTTTTTTTCTGGGTTTTTCTGCAGTATTCTCTCCTCTCTCAGCATCCTTCCTTTCCTCACCCTCTGCTCATTTTCTTGACCTTCCCTTCCTCCCTACTTCTCAGGTTATCATCAGCCGCTCCGTCCAAACAAATAATCTCCCCCGACTCTGCCCTCTCTCCGAGCCAAAGCCAGAGATGCAATAACAACAGTTTCATCTCGGGTCTATTCTTGGAGAGTAAACCGAGCCGCGGAGGGCAAGGCTGCTCTCCGTTTAAGGCTCTTTAACTTTTGAGGAGTATAAAGAAATCGATTGTTTTGAATAATTAAAGAAGGATAAGAGGAAAAGAAAGCTGGAAGTCCAAAGATGCAGGTCAGAAATGGAAATGGAAACATGAAAGGAAAGCTCTTTGGGTTGTGAGTTTAGTAAATTCAAAGAACGGTTCTGCTTTCTGTTGTAACCAAACATGTTTGCTACTATGACCTCAAACCAAATCAACAACAAATAACTGTTAGGTTTAACTCAGGAGGCAGGAAGAGATCCTTTCAGCTTCAAGGGTTAGATTTACAAGTCTGAAATTTTAAATGAAGTTTACAGGCAGACGTCAGCAGGAGGTCATGTTTTTGTCTCCTTCTAGCTTCCTGCTAAAAACCTGTCCACAAACCTCCGGCTGGCATAACCGAACTGGTGCTTTTAGTGAGTGATAAAGCTCCTGATGCAGGCTAAATGGTGGTTTATTTACCCAAAGCCTTATGGGTAAAATGTATATGATACTGGATACCCACTTTTCCGTGGCCCCTCAGAGTAATGCAGTGGTCAGATCTTGCTTTTTAGAGCTGCGCCGACTGATTGCTTAGAGCCGATCCTGAAACAGGTGCTCCCGGAATCCGTCATTCATGCTTTTATCATCTCCCGACTGGAGTACGCAAATTCCACATGTAGCCCGGCAACATGTGGACTGCATCTCATCTCAAAACAACTTCAACTCGTTCTTTCAACCTTTTATCATCGTAGCTGGACATTGTGACGTACATGTGGGATAGTCACGTCACAGGTTCATGTCGGACTCGACGTGTTCCCATGTTTTGGGTACCCGACCCACAGCCACTTGGTCACAATTGTTCTTCATGGTCTTCTTAATAATAATAACAATACCTTTTATTTAACAGCGACTTTCAGGACACCCAAGGATACTTCACAACAATGGGGGAAAAAAATAAAACAAGATAAGCACAGTACAGAAATATGTATAAACACTAAGATGCTAAAATTTTAAAACAATGTATTAAAACTATGTGGTAAAAGCTTGTGTGAAGAGGTGGGTTTTGAGTTTTGATTTAAAAAGTGCAAGAGAGTGAGTGGTGCGTAGATCAGGGGGACGAGAATTCCAGAGGTCTGCTTCTGCAAACGGATTACAGGTTGGATTTTCTGAACAAACGTGAGACATCATTGTCTTCTGAATTTCGACTATTTGTAACGTACTGCGCTGCAATTGGTTCAAACTACACGTGAGAATATGGAGGGGGATTCCTGTACATTTAATACCGTAACACCTATGGCAGGATCAGAAAATATTGTTTGTGAATTTTTTCCAACACTAACCCTAATCCTAGCGTTTGACCCACTCGGTTTCCTCGATACCAGAAAACCAAGCTTAACTACATGTGTCCATGTCCCACCAAGTCTCTGTGATGGGTTAGGGGATAGTTTAGTCCAGCTGTCCTTTTGTCCTCCTGTCCAGCTGTAATTAGATGCAGATGCTCATGAAGAGGACTTTAAAAGTGTCCAGATTGGTTTTAAATTGTCCGGCTGATCTGGGCCGTCATCTCTCTGCCTATAAGTCTCTCCCTAAAGAGTCATCGTAAAATTTGTGAAATCAGTTAATCTCTTTTTATGGAGCTTGAGTGGCTGTCAGTTTCCTCAAATCTCTCCTGTAAATTAGGCAAATGTGCCTCAATAAGTCTTCCTGGCTCTTGTTCCCAGAAGTGGCCCCATTCACCGTCTTCACATCACAGGACTGATTTATTTTCCTTGTGAAGCCAGAAGTCCTGCATTAAATCTGGTCCAAAGCTGTCAAGTGTCCGCCTGTCAGCTATTCCCTGAACGAGCAATGAAAATCTGTCGGAAATTCATGCGTTTGTCATCATCAGGAGATGAATGAGGAAGCAGAACCTGTTTGTAGGAGGGTAATCTGTATAGAACTGAACAGAACATGTTTTCTTTTCCAGAAGGGTCATCATGAGATTCGGGAGCTTCGTCAGTTCCACTTCACCAGCTGGCCCGACCACGGTGTTCCCTGTTACGCTACAGGACTTTTGGGCTTCATACGACAGGTGAAGTTCCTGAATCCACCGGATGCTGGGCCCATAGCCGTCCACTGCAGGTGAGCAGAACTTCACTGGTTCTGATGAACATGCTATTGGACAACAAACACGTGACATAGGGTGTTTCTCAATGCCAAGGAACCTTGCCTTGATGTCTTGGCCCTGCCCCAGTTGCCTAAGAGAAACGTCATCGGAGCCACCAAGACGTGTTCCAATCGGTTCCAATGTTCATGCTCTACCGAGGCATGTGTTCTCTGTTTGTTAGTCGTTTAGCTAGCTGAGCAAGGATACATGGGAGGTGTCTTGTAGCCTAGCATTGGTCAAAAATTACCCACAATACACTGCTGTATTTTCAATAAGACGGCGGATCAGAAGCCAGCAGCTACTTGGTTCAGGTGGAGGGGAGAAAAGGCACTTCAGAGTTACCCTCCACCAGGAGGGCAGCTTTGCTCTGCAAAAAAAAAAAAAAACACCTCAAACAGATATGCAACAAATTTCAGACAACACAACATAACATGAGACTCCAATAGGAAGGCGGGGGTGGGGGGGGTGGGGGGGCTAGGATCCTGTTTCCCCCAGCGAGAGCAGCCATCTAAGGCGCTCATCTACTGTACAGTCACAGGTGGGAGTAAGATCTTGGGAGAAGCGAAGAACACATTGACTCCTCCAGCTGAACATTTCGTCCCAAGAATTATTCCATATAAATGTAAAATAAAAATCATTATTCAAGGTTTCAGAAACCCACACGGAGAGTCTTAGATGAAGAAAAACAATCAACAGCTGTGCTTGATAGCAAAACAAGTAAATCACAATTTGGAGAACCTGTTCAAATTATATTTTTCACCGTCTAGATTTCTAGGCTAGTTGACAGATGCTGTGACTGAACAATGTTGTTCTGTTTAGTGGAGAGTTACTTGTAATAACCAGACTTGTGCTGACTCTTCTGCTGCTGCCATTCCTGCTGGGTCATCATGTATTATTGTTTCCATTCTAATAGCATAAAAGGTGTTTGTTGTATTACTTCTAAGTTACTGCTAGAAGTGACTTGTTTTGGTGGTCACTTTTTGTAACAGGTGTTACAAAAGAATCAGATTTTATTCAATTGTTATTTTTATTTATTGCAGCATTTTGTGACTCAAATATTTGTGACTAACGGCTGAATCGAAGCCACCAGGCTGCTTAGTAAGTCGTTAATCTCCACTAGAGAGCTACAACGTTAAAATATGACTGATTAAAGCTGCTGGAACTAATGAGACCTTTTTATTATTTATTACACCACTCAATTGTAAACAAAACCTCAAGTCAACCAGAAAATGTGTGAAAATGTCAAATAAAAATCCAGTTAGATGAGTTAGTTTCATCACTAAACATCTGTTTGTATCACATAATGCTAACATGCAGCGACAACTGTTGGTTTCTATGAGAGGAAAGTTCAATAAACTCGACTCATGAAATGACAAAGTTCATCCAGAGTCAGGGAGAGGGGGATCGCCGGCGGACGCCGACGTGTAAACAGATAGCCAAGGAGGAAGTATGTGGACGGACAGGCAGGAAGTTATGACAGTCACTTCCAATTTCCGGGGGCACTTTAACACTGTTGGCCTGTGTCATGAGGCGTTCATACACACACACACACACACACACACACACACACACACACACACACACACACACACACACCAGTATTCTGGTCTCCACATTAATCACTAAGGCTGACAGGTAATCTGCCGAGGCGCTCCCTCCTTTTCTCTCTCTCCTTCCCTCTCTGCTCTTATCTCTCCTTCTGTTTCCCTCCTCTCTGTAAACTGTCAGGATTGCAAAGTGAAAGATGGGTCTCCTGCCCCTTCCTCCTCATCTTCATCGCTTCAATCGGCTCCCATTTTCCTCCTCGCTGTGATGATCACGGCAATCGCTTGGAGTCGTAACCTCTTCACACCATCCCATGTCTTCCTGTTCAGTCCATCCCTCAGTTGGTCACATGACTGAAAGAGGGCAACAGTTATTTCTTGTTTTTAGTATAAAGCTTTATTTTAAAACAGAAAGTGTAGCGAAACATCAAAAAACTAGAGAGGCTGATGGTTAGGGTTAGGAAACTTAGATTGTAATTAGTTTTTTTTTCTTTCTCTAACTCGGAAGAATCTCAGCAACACTTTTAAACCATTTCAGGAAATGTTTTTGTTGTTTTTCTGCAGCGCCGGCGCCGGTAGGACGGGCTGTTTCATCGCTGTGGACATCATGCTGGACATGGCCGAAAACGAAGGAGTGGTGGACATCTTCAACTGCATCCGAGAGCTGAGGTCACAACGGGTCAATATGGTTCAGACGGAGGTGAGGGGACACACACACACACACTAACTGGGTTTAGATAACGGTTTTTAGGTGTTTGTTGGCGAAAACGTAACCCTTTAAGCGCCAAAGTCGCAGAATTGCGACAAGCAGCAATGTTGGATTTAATAAGCCACAGCAGCAGAAATGAGCCCTCATGCAGTTAATACGTTACTCAGCGGGGTGGCAGACACCTGTAACTTCAATCCAAGCAGCATTTGTGGGTGTGTTACCATTCTAACTTTTGGAGTATTCAGAGCTTGAACCCCGACCACCAGTCGCAGAGTCACGGGGGTTGTCAGAACAGTCAGATCGAGTGAGAGCGAGCGAGTGGTAGAGGAAAAAAAACCACAATGCCGAGAGGAATGTTCAGTGCTGACGAAGCTCTTCGTGTAGTACTGGCAGATTCGGATTCGGAGGAAGAATATTTCCTTTCCGAGGATGATCTGCGGTCTTCTAGCGAGACGGAAAGTGTGGCTTCAGCGCGCAGCAACAGGGAGTCTGTCAGCGATAACACATGTTCCGCGTCACCATGTCCGGGGTCGGGGAATGAGACGTGGCGGAGGCCTCGAGCAGCTCGTACCGGGTCTGATCCTTCGCACCACCGTGGCGGGGGTGGGGTGGTGGTGATGGGCCAGTGAAAACTCCGCTGGTGATTGTTTCAGCCCCGGGGGTGTAATCCGCGGGAATTGCAGCAGGAGGGGGAGGAACCGCATGAAAAAAATCACTGCTATCAGGGGGGGTGGCCCAACACAGCCTCAATGACAATAATAATGATAATGGCTGGGTTAGTTTGGGAGAAGAGGAACATTATTCCAAGTGGATCAGGCATTTTGATGAGCCAGTTGGATACTGTGGAGACAGGGATCTCTCAAATTCGGAACACATTGATTTTCTGTCAGTTTTTTTGGATGAGGAATTCTGGACCCTCATCACAACTGAAACTAGCCGATATGCTCACCAGTATTTAGAGAGGGAGGAACTGAAATCTAGCTCCAGATATAATGACTGGTACGATGCAACTGTCCCCGAAATGAAAGCATTCATTGCCATTCAGTTCTGCATGGGGCTTATGGAAAAGCCTGAGATTGAGGATTATTGGGCTGGCTTTTGGCCAACATACACACCTGGCTTCAGCAAAGTGATGTCAAGAAACAGATTTGAGATCATTCTTTCTTTTCTCCACTTTGTAAACAATGATGAGCGTGTGGAAAGGGGCCAGCCAGGTCATGACAGACTGTTCAAGGTGTGCCCCATTATTGAGATGATAATTCCACGCTTTTCATCCATCTATGGTCTGCAGATATATATGTAATATATATGTATGTATATATATATATATATATATATATATATATATATATATATATATATCAATTATAAACAGAATAAACCAAAGAAGGGATGAGTAAAATGTGTTCATGACACTGAAGCACCAAAAACAGTGTTCTTGATTGATACGCAGTAAACACAACAAAATACCAATAAAGTAATAAATATTAAATATATATATAGTTATATATATATATATATATATATAGTTATATATGTCTACATAGGAATATGGATATATGTATCATGAACAATAACAACACTAAGAAAAGACAAAAACATAAAAAAAACTGCAAATGTGATGCAATCCAATATGGCTGTCACCTGATGACGTCATAATATGTGCATTATGTGAGTGAATTTGTTCCTATCACAAAATTTGGCTCATACTGAAGATTTTTCTAATTTAAAATATTCCTCTATCTCTAACCAGATTTAAGCTACAATCTCTTTAAATAGTGATATAAAAATTCATATTTTTCTGAAAAAACTATGGCGCCTAAAGGGTTAATTGATTTCTGAGTGCTGAAGAAAAACTGAGCTCTAATCAGAGCAACAGCTCAAAGGGGGTTTGTGGTCTGTTAAACTAGCTGGAGGCTCACCCTGACCCTCAAACAGACTTTTGGATGAGCTTTCGAGGTGCTAGAACCCTCTCAGAGGATGTCGGTAATGTGAAAGTGAGCTGCGCTCCTCTTGAAACCAAGCTAAATGCATCCTGCCCTGCCTGTTAAATAAGTGTGGGAGCAATTTGTGTCAAGCTGAAGCCGCCATTATAATCCTGCTGCACACAACACAGAGCAATTAATCTTTTAAAAGGCAGAGTGAAGTGTGTGTGTGTGTGTGTGTGTGTGTGTGTGTGTGTGTGTGTGTGGTGTGTGTGTGTGTGTGTGTGTGTGTGTGTGTGTGTGTGTGTGCGTGCGTGCGTGTGTGTCCACATGCTTTTGCATGTAAGTGTGTGTCACAAGAGCAGGTAATGGCTGAGCATTCACCTGTCGGCTCAACAGGAAACACATAAGCATTCACCAGAGAGCTGCGGAGATCAAGTTAGAGGCAAAGCAAAAAGAAGGAGACAAACTTCTGAGCTGATAGTTGGACCAACAGCAACTGATTAGCGTGACTGGCTGTTGCTGCAGCTTTTCATAGACGTGAATTTATCAGCCGACTCGTAGATATAGGAAAGCACCTTACAACAGTATAAAACAGGAATACAATAAAACACACATTATTGTAAAGGAGCTACACTAACATGGACTCTAACACTGTGTTCAAAGCCAAGACATAAAATGGGTTTATAGCAGGACAGAGCCTAACTATGAATGATCGCTGGTTAAATATGTCAGACAGACACACACCCTCACATCTGCATGTGCCAACCCACCACAGCACTGTCAGTATATAAGTGCTGGTCACAGTCATGCCAATAGCTGAAAAATGCTAGGTCCGAGCTAATGCTAACATCCTTGTTAGACAAATGGAAAACTTCAAAGACGTATGTCGGAGCTCACACGCAACGTTACAGGGATGCACTGGAAATATCCAGAGTGAATGCCAGAGAGAGCCATAGCTTTTCTTTTGAGTCAGCAGGATACAGAACACAGAGTCATCAGTGTAAACCAGCCAATCAGCATGCAGCTTGTTTATTATTCATGTCCTGACTGAGTGGGCTCGTTGCAGGATCCGGCCCAATCCCAAAACTCACACTTGCATCCTTCAATTGTACGATACTGCCCCTGTTGCACCCTTTATCCACACTTCACCCAAGTTTGCATCAGTGTGGGCTTGGGTGAAGTGTATTACCCACAATCCATTGCTGCAGGACAAACGGCTGGAGTGCCTTTTTATATCAACATAGTTCATTTTAGGATGATTAGTTGATGCTCTAAATGTTTCATTTAGGTGTTTCATTCATGATTCTGACATTACAATGTTTAGTCTGTAGTAGCACACACACACACACACACAGTTTCTGTGTCATTTCATGCTGCTGCTCTGAGAAACTCCAGGTAAGTTGAGAGATCAGGTTCAGGTGCGAGCAGCCTAACCCAGAGGGTTGTTTTTGACCTTCGGAGTTGTTTGTGTTCCAGGAGCAGTACGTGTTTGTTCATGACGCCATCCTGGAAGCGTGTCTCTGTGGGAACACCGCCATTCCTGTGTGCGAGTTCAGAGCTGTTTACTACAACATCAGCAGGCTGGATCCACAGACCAACTCCAGCCAGATCAAAGATGAGTTCCAGGTGAGCACACACACACACCTCCAGGCTCAAGTCCATCTTTAACCCTCTACATGTGTGTTTAAAGGTTTGAGCTCGTGTTCCTGGGGATTCTGTTGGCTTTGATCACTTTTCTAAAGATTTTAACTCTTTGATCTTAAATCCGTCAGACTCTAAACATAGTGACCCCTAGAGTCCGCCCAGAGGACTGCAGCGTGGGTCTCCTCCCCCGGAACCACGATAAGAACAGGAGTATGGACGTCCTGTCGGCTGACCGATGTCTCCCGTTCCTCATATCTGTAGACGGCGAGAGCTCCAACTACATCAATGCTGCCTTAATGGACGTGAGTTCAGCTTTAAGTTCAGCTTTGACTAAAAGATTCTATGTAGTACTAATTTGTTCTGGGTCCATGTTCGCCCCAGAGCCACAAGCAGCCAGCAGCCTTCATCGTTACCCAGCATCCTTTGCCAAATACGATGGGAGACTTCTGGAGGCTGGTGTTTGACTACAACTGTTCCTCCATCGTAATGCTGAATGAGATGGATGCAGCGCAGGTAAAAACGCATTTAACTATCGATTATTTGGGGTTTAGAACAACAAAGATCCCATCCATAAGTACCAGCAAACCTCATGAAGGGAGCTCGGTCAGTTTTATTTACTTTGACAAAAATCTGCAGCTTATTTGTGTTAAAACTGGTTTATTATCCTGGTTAAGAGCAAAGGTTTAGCTGTTTTTGTTAACCTTTCTTTAATGTTGGGAGTTTGTTAGGATGGAAAAACGACACTTCATCTGTTCTGTAGTGAGATTTTAGTTGGAATGATGGAAGTAAGAACGTTCTCTAGTGGTTTTATCTCTTTCATTCAGTTCAGGTTTCAGCTCACTTTGCACTGATGAGTGACTGAATATGAACTCTTTAATCTTTTACCACCTGAATCATGAACAACTTCCTGTTGCTCATGAGAAATCTTATGTTGTAATAGTTGTGTATGCAGTACTGGCCGGAGAAGAACTCGTGCTGCTACGGTCCGATTCAAGTGGAGTTCATATCCGCGGACATCGATGAAGACATCATCAACCGAATCTTCCGGATCTGCAATATGGCGCGGGTATGGGTCAGAGCCGGGTCCAACCCGTTTACAGAACAACCTTGCCCCTAGGGGGCGATATTGTCCTCATTAGTGACAAATCTAAATACAAAAACATCTTGACTAAAGTTAACAACTTCCTGTCGGGTTTGATCAGTTTCACAAATTAGAGTTTAAAAGAGCTGTGAGAGGCGGAAGAAGGTTCTGGTGCTGCAGACGAGCGAGTTTATGAGCTCCTACAGAAATCACGGTGAAGATTCTGTCAGACCAGGTGTTACGACTCTTCTCCCCCACCAATACCACGCCATCTTTCTCAAACCCATCACCTGTGTCATTGCCATGACAGAGTCTGCATCACCAACCACTAAAGCCAGTAAATGAAGGACACAATACCCGATAGGTCATAATGAACAAAGAAAGTTTTATTGGCACATTTGTTTCTATCTCACCACACCTATAGATATTTACCATTATAGAATTATTGTCCAGCACATGTTTTATACTTCCTAGAGCCCCATCGTGACATCCTGGTGTTTCATGCTTCCTTCTCAGCCACAAGACGGTTACCGCCTGGTTCAGCACTTCCAGTTCATTGGTTGGCCGGCCTACAGGGACACGCCCCTTTCTAAGCGCTCCATCCTCCAGTTGGTGAGGAGGCTGGCCAAGTGGCAGGAGCAGTACGATGGAGGAGACGGGAGAACGGTCGTCCACTGCCTGTGAGTAGAAGAAAAGATCAACAGAGTCTGTTTTCACCTCACAAAGCCACGCAGGATTAGGATCAGTACCTTCATATGCTGTCCTATAGAGGCTACCGACCTTTTATTAGATTTATGGTCAGAGGTGAGGAGTACAATAATTAAAAATGTTTATTTCATGGCCAGGGCTAACACTGATCACATCCATTGCTCTGAAGAGTTGATAGTAGAACAAACTTCTTCTGTGAAGGATGTTATGTACAGATGTGTTACCTCATCCAAAACAGCTGCTTCATGAACAGATTAGTACATTTTACGTGGAGACATGCTAGTCGGTAAAACTGTAGCGTGACTTGTTATGGCTCACCTAACATGTTTGCTCTGCAGCACCGGTGGAGGACGTTCTGGAACATTCTGTGCCATCTGCAGCATCAACGAGATGATCCAGCAGCAGAACATTGTGGATGTTTTCCACACCGTGAAGACACTGAGGAACAACAAGACCAACATGGTGGAAACGATGGTGAGTAGCTCGAAACCGGTGTTACCCCTCATATGAAACACATACAGTCTGGTTTCTGTATGGCTATCTGCTACAACAAATAACCTGGATGCACCTCGTTGACCCATGTGATTCCACCTGTGGAAACTTTCCAGAGCTCTCGGCATCTGGATCTGCACCACAGCTGGTGCGATTTTTGGTTCATAGGAAAGCTGTACAGAAACTAGACCACACCTGCTGTAAACAACAGGGTATTTGCGGGTCCTTAAAAAGTCTTAAAATAGCTTTTCCAAATTTAAGGCCTTGAAAATCCTTAAAAATGACAAATAATCCTTAAATACAGTTTCCAAAGGTCTTAAATTACCAAAGACCCAATAAACAAGATTATTGTATTTCTATGACATTTTCGTGAATTTCAGCATTTTTTGTGTACGATGTTGGCGTAAGCGGAACCGTACACATTCAGTTGGTTGAGAAAGGGGACTATTTTTAGATGAGCACGTTAGCTGGTTAAGCTAGTGGGAGCTTGCGCCATGGAGAAGTGCAAGTTTAATGGTAACTGGATGGCTAATCCCACGTTTGCGACGTGGTTAGCACCGGTTCCAGACAATAGCTTAAAATTAATTTAAAAATAGCTTAAATTTGGATCTGGATCGAAAGGAGTCAGTTGAAGTGGTTTGGGCAACTGGTCAGGATGCCTCCTGGACGCCTCCCTGGCGAGGTGTTTCGGGCATGTCCTGCTGGCAGGAGGCCCCCGGGTCGACCCAGGACACGTTGGAGAGGTTACATCTCCAATCTGGTCTGGGAACGCCTTGGGGTCCTGCCGGAGGAGCTGGTGGAGGTGGCTGGGGAGAGGACGGTCTGGTGCTCCCTAGTTGCGATGCTGTCCCGCGACCCGGACAAGCAGAGGAAGATGACGACAAGCTTAAATTTGGTCAAAGTGGCCTTAAAAAAGGTCTTAAAAAGTCTTAAATTTGGCTCCCTTAAACCTGCAGATACCCTGAAACAAGGCTTTAGGCCAATTGCATGAATGTAAGATCTGCAGGTGTGTTTGTGTCCCAAACTCTGGTCCTCGAGAGCTGCTGTTCAGCACGTTTTAGTTGTTTCACTGCATCAACCATCAGTGATTAACAGGTTTCTGCAGCGCTTTACAGCCTGCTGAATAAGGACCACAGTCAGAGACACAAACACACATTTAGAAGCTCCACTCTAACAAACAGGTGTGTTGAGGCAGGAAAACTAACATTGATCCTTTTCCATCAACTGTAGCCTAAAGCCTGATTTATGCTTCTCCGTCTGCGTCAGTGCGGAGACACGCAACGCCATTATCCGTCCTTGCGTAGGGCTCCGACAGGCATGCAAGTACGTACGGAGTCGAGTCCACTTTTTTAAACATCCGTCGAAAGAGACAGATTACACAAGCTTGTGATTGGTCAGGACGCCGCTGTTGTTTACAGCACCGCCATTTGCCACACTCTCCAGGAGACGGAGAAGTAAAAGAGCAAAACGCTTCCGTCAATCCGTGCGTGTCTGTCCCTTGCGGAGCTGACGGAGAAGCATAAACCAGGTCACCATGTTGTAAATCTGACGTTTGTAACCTTTAACACTAACCAGTACCCACCCCCCACAGGAGCAGTACAAGTTCTGCTACGAGGTCGCTCTGGAGGCGCTGAACTCCTTCTGAGGAGGCATGTCTGACGCTGATGATCGTTCTTCACTCAACAATGAGACACAACGTGCTTCATGTTGACCTGAATTCAACCTGTGGTCCGTGTGTGTGTGTGTGTGTGTACCTATACGTGTGCCTGTATCACACACACACCCTGTACAGAGGAGGAAGAAACACACACGGCTGTTTTTTATGAGCGTGTTTGTTTCGAGGAGAACTCCACATGCTTGTACAAAGAAAAAATATGAAAGTAAATAAGACGTTAAAAAAAGTCACCTTTTTCTTTGTTCCTTCGCGGCCAGTCTGTCATGTGACTCTGTACAGTTTTCCTTTTTAGATGTACTCTACGCTTTGAATGTTGTTTCCCTCTGAGGGCTGGAAGCACACTGGAAGCTTCTGACCTCCATCTGTTTAAATTCATGATGACCTCATTAGAGCCAAGACCAAACAAAGCGTGTTACTTCCCCTCTCAGTTGATGTGGACATTTTCTAAAGTTTTGCATCACAGAAACACTCGACTTCCTGCTGCTGGTGACTTAAATATTCATAAAATAAGGTCACATGACCTGGGTGGGGGGTTATGAGATCAGAGCTGATCTCAGACTAGCCTTTAGCTCATCCAAGAATGCTAACATGTAAAAGACATCAACGTGAGCTTTGTCTGACCTTCTGGACACCAGAGTAGCCCGTCCCCCTCCACTGATGATGTCACCGAAGCCTCCAGTGTGCCTCCACCGTTCCTGTAAATAAGAAAAGAACCACAGTCAAACAAACAAACACCAGACGTTATTTCATCCTTTCATTTGATTTGGTTTCCTTTAAAGCGTCCAGCTGCAGGCTCCTCCTCCTGAGACGCTTCTAGAAGGTTCATTTCTACATGTGCTGAAAAACTAAATGTAGCTTCTTCTTCTGTGATTAATTATGTGGATTTAAGAGGAGGATAGAGTTTGGTAACCCCCTCCCCTCCTTATATCTGGTGCATGTCTGGCTCGCTGAGCAGCGTTAGCATGTGGACAGCTGTAAATAGAGAAAAGGCCAACATTTTTTCACTATTTTTGCAACTAAAGGATTTCATTCTTTCATGTGTTCAAGCTTGGCCATGAATTAGTGACATTGATAAACTCAGTCAAGTGTCCTTGATTTCCATCATAAAGCCATGAGATGTTTTACTGCTGAGCTCCTGAACGGGTCAAAGTTCAGGCCTGACTTGGACCCTCCGGTTCTGTTCTGGAGTCCCACCAGGCTCCTTATTGGACCTATTGAGATGTGAATGCCTGAGCATCTCATTTCACAGAGGCTTTTATTATTTTATGACCCTTAACCTGTATGATTTGTTTTTTAATTTCCCAGGAATTCTACTTTTTTCGTAAACTGGATGATTACTCGTCTAAGTGCTGTTTAGATCGGGTGAGGCCATTATCATTGGTTGTTTAGTTGTTTGAAATGTGGTTAACAGTAAATAAAGGGACCAAAATGTTGAAAAGGCTCCATGTTTTTCTTCGATAAACTCCTGTCAGGTGTTCAGATCTAAAATGAAACCAGATGTTTAATAGTGAAATTCAGCTTTAAATATGTATACTGAGGCTCTTTCTTTCTGGAGTTACCTTGGGAAGCTTATTAAAATAAATATTTTATACATTTAAAGGTCACACTTCCTCTTGACATCTCAGTAAAGCTGTGTCATGGTTCTGAGTTGAACCTCCTACACACGGATTTTCCCCAGCAGCCACCGTATAAACATTTGGTTACATTCAAACAAAAAGCTTTAACGCTTATTTTATGATGTCTAGTGAACAGAAGCAAGGGATCATTTCATCTAAAAATATTAATTTTACAAAATGTAGTCACTTACTTTGCTGTTGGCCTTCACTGGTTTCCATCGTAAACCAGAAAATCTGTGGAACATAAAAAAATTAATTCAACAAGTGTCAAAAACTTCTTAAGTCAAGAAAATAACCCTCCTTTTATCTTGTTTATAGTAAAAAAAAACGTTTACCTTCATTATGTAAAATCTGTTAAGTATCGTCTGATTCTGCGTTTGCTACTGGTGATTATTGGTGGTGGCCAACTTGAAATGGATTAGCTAGAGCTGAAATGGGGTTCAGAAGGTTTTTGGGTTCTGGTGGTTTAAAAGATATTTGGGTAACTTCTTTGGGAAGTGTCTCCAAATTTTTCCCAGAGCTTCTCAACCTAATTGCATGTTTGCTAATGTTGGGCTGAGGCAGCCATCTTGGATTGGACCAAGCTTCATTAGTTTGCAAACAATGACCTCTGGTAAATAAAAAAGGGATCCATTTACCTGTAACAATTCCGCTCTTTCCAGGCTGATTTAGCCTCTTTCTAATCAGTCAGTAAGTGATGAACGCAGCTCAGAGCCAACAGCCTCATCCTTTATTTAGCTGGTTGAGACCCAAGGAGCTCATAAATATGCATGGATGTGCGATTAGCATAGACACTAAGGACAGGGCCTGTACCTCGGCATTATGACGATCAATAAAAAACACGGAGAGGCTCCGTGGAGGGAAGCTGTCTGTCAGCTCGGCTTTGGGCTCAGTCGATGCACACACACACACATCAAAAACAGGTACGCTCAAAGCATACAGTCACAGAACACATCACCTGTGTGTGTGTGTGTGTGTGTGGTGTGTGTGTTCACTCCCAGCGAGCCACTGTCAACCTCTTCGACTTTCCTTTTCTACTTCGTTCAGAGCGAGTCTGAAATGAGTTTGAAAATTGACTCATTTCATTTGCTCTCACTGTAATGCCATAAGGGGGGGGAAGGGGGGGGGGGGGTATTTGTTCCACTCAAACAGGGTTATTAATATATTGTTTTCCCTGAGAACTTGTAACAAGGTTATTTAGAGTCGCCGGTCTGCAGCCCTTCTAGAGACCAGATCGGTCTTATCCAGCCGTTATGCTGCTCACACACACACACACACACACACACACACACGTTTCAACAAGTCCTTGACAAACTTCTCAGATGGTGTTAAGCTTTGTTGGCTCGCAGCCAAACCTTTGATATTCTTTTAGAATCAGATGACACAAAAATCAGGATCCAATATAAGTTTAAAAGCAGAAAAAAGATCTTTGACCTTTGACCTATAAAAAACTTAAAGTTTGTCCCAATACCCAAATGACGAAATTGCTAACTTGACCTATGACCCCAGACATGGGTCCCAGACAAGCACATGCCTGTCTGAGGTCAGATTTGTGGACTTCCTCAGAACCAACAGATTCTTCTCACTTTGCATCATTAACTATGTAAGAAACTTAAAGGTAAACAAAAAAGGATCTATTCTGTGATTTACCACACTGAGTGGTTTGTGAATCATTTTCATCAACTCCAGCTTTACTTTCTCGCCGTCTTGAGGCATCCAACAACAAAGTGAACTTAGGAGAAAAACAGTAATTAGACGTAGCTTGTGGGGCGTCGGCTGCACTTCTGTGACACTAGATGGGAGTAAGAGAGAAAAGAGCAGCTGCTCCGGTCAAACCGACGCCCCTCTCCTCCTCTCCAGCAGGACAATTAATTAAAACAGAGAGATAGTCAGTAGGACGAGCGAGGACCGCAGGCGGTTCAAGATGCAGATGGTGGTGGAGATGCTTGGGAACAGAAGAAACATTTTTAGAGTTTTATTCCCCTCATGAGAAAAATCACAAAAAAGTAAAAGCATCAAAAGATCAGAACCGGTGTTTATGGTTTTACACATTTAAGCAGCCGACTAAATTAAAACATTTGCTGCAAAAGAGCATGGACTTTGAACAGGAAACATCCATCTGTCTCTGCAGGAGAAGAACAGACCTCCCTCTCCCCAGCAGTGTGCTCCAGCTCCTCCTGGATGCTGAGGCCTCTTCAAGTCAGAGAGGACATCCAGCTCCTCCAGCAGCTCTACTGAGCGTCAACCAGAAATCATTCCAACAACTTCAATGTAATTTTGATGATGATGATGATGAGGAGGAGGAGCGGCAGCTTCTCTGATCTCCTCGCCTTCTTTCTGACCCGACCACTCTGGGGAAGAAGCTGATCACAGTAACCAGGACCTGGTTTGTTCAGGTCTAACCCTCAGAGGTGGAACGTAGACGGAGCAGCTGAGCTCCTGCTTTACGCTGACAAACCGGAGCAGTGCTCGCATGACCTGTTGGTCCATCTCTCCTCCATCTTGCCATCACCATTTAGTTCATTTGAGATCATAAATTGTTTGCTCTCAACTGGAGAGAAAGTGAAACAGAAAAGATCACAGGAGGAGTTTTGGAGAGCAGGACAAGATCTGAACATGAAAACAACAAAGGAAGCTCTCAAATCCACAAAGTTTCATCTGGATCAAAGACAGTCCCATAAAACTCTTCATGCTAAATACACTAATTACTGCATGATGGTAACGGCGCATGTGGGTCATAAACAATGGTTTGGCTGCCCTATCAAGAACTAGAAACATCAAATTTGCATCACAAAGACTTCATGATTCACAAACTGCAGTGAAACTCAGACTTTAATGAAAGGGGGATGTTTATTTAAGAGAAGAAACAGGTGAACATGATGATGAATAGAAGTTGTCTCAGGTATCTGCTTAGCAGTGATGATTATTAGTCAGGGAAACCGTCTGGAAACGGGTTGACTGACTCTTATTAAGGTGCTGAGTATCAGAGCACGTGCACCAGACACACTCAGAGTCAGGGAGACGACAGCGAAGCCTTTGTTAGCCGTCGACTCGACTCCTGCACTAATTTCAGAGAGCTCACTTAGGCGTGCCGAGCGTAACGGAGCGTATTATCCTGCAGAGGAACCCCTTCGTGGTAATTGTTGCTTAGAATGACTGAGCGTCTCTGAGCAGAGCCCAGCTTTAAGGAAATCAGATGGAAGAGACTGGAAGTTCTAAATAAAAAAAAATTAGGATGAGAAGATGGAGAAAAGGAGGGCAGCAAATTGAGTCCAAGTCTGTATTTAACACGAGTGGCTTAAAGCCGGAATACAGACAGGAAGGAACGGATGCGTGAGGAAGCAAGTAATCCTGCTGCAGTAATAAAAGTATCTTGTCCGTTAAATCATAGGTGGATTCTGCTGACAGCCTCTCAAAATGAAACCCAACCATGTCATGTTAGTGTGAACAGTGTGATCGTACGATTCAACTTTTAGATGTTCTCACATTCAAATCTAGGCATAATTCTGCTGCTGCTTATTCCAGTGTTCATGTTTCTGAGACAGAAATCTTTTTTAAATGACAAGACAAAAAGGCTGAAAGTAGGCGGGGCTTAAATATTCACTTCCTGGTTCCAAAGCCAACATGGCAGCTCCTGTAAACGGCATAGTTTTGTTTTTCTTTTTTTTTTCCTGACTGGTGTGTGTGTGTGTGTGTGTGTGTGTGTGTGTGTGTGTGTGTGTGTGTGTGTGTGTGTGTGTGAGAGACATTTGGGTGACAAGTCATTTTTTACCACAAATACACACAACAGATAACTGTTGGCCCAATGAATTGGTTTAATGTTCGTGTGTGTGTGTGTGTGTGTGTGTGTGTGTGTGTGTCCAGCTTCAGTGTTTTAGTGTGACGCTTTGATGACCTGTAGTGGATGATTGCCAGCAATCACATTTCTGATGTCTGTATCACGTCCTGTGTTCTTCATCCTTGCTCGGTCATATGGAACCTGAACACACTCATCCTTTGTCTCAGATTGGTTCCTCTCTCTCTCTCTCTCTCTCTCTCTCTCTCTCTCTCTCTCTCTCTCTCTCTCTCTCTCTCTCTCTCTCTCTCTCTCTCTCTCTCTCTCTCTCTCTCTCTCTCTCTCTCTCTCTCTCTCTCTCTCTCTCTCTCCTCTCTCTCTCTCTCTCTCTCTCTCTCTCCTCTCTCTCTCTCTCTCTCTCTCTCTCTCTCTCTCTCTCTCTCTCTCTCTCTCTCTCTCTCTCTCTCTCTCTCTCTCTCTCTCTCTCTCTCTCTCTCACACACACACACACTCACGTGCGCGCACGCACACACACACTCACACACACACACACACACACACACACACACACACACAATGGGGCTTCATTTCACACCACATTGCCACCATTATTTGCCATTTCTACCGATGGCTGTAATCATGAAGGCTGAAACGAGTAAAGGGTGAAATCATTCCTTCTCCAGTCAGGTCAGTCTGCCCTCTCTCAGTCTCAGATTTCCAGGCTTCCAGCCAGTTTGTAGTTTTCTTTTACATGATAAACATGTCATGCAGAAGTTTTTAACGTGTCCTGATGATGAATATGAGTAGCAGCAGCCGGCTCAGTCCTGCAGACCAGAACTCCAGATAGAGATGATGCTCCTTTCCTGGTCAATGTCCTCTCAGTTATCTCTGTGTCCAAGTGACTTGCACAGTTTACAGTAAATAAAAAAAGACCTAGTTCAGCGTGTCGGACAGTTTAATATCACACATGTGTGATGTCATCGCCCTCATGCTTGCTGTCCCCAACAAGAAGAAGCTGCAGAGACCTAAAGGCATTGTTCTTAACCA